TCATTTGTGAGTTTCTTTCGCGAGGCACCACGCACTTTAATTTTTTCACCTGCCATGCCACTTCACTAGGGTTACTATGAACGCGAAATGCGCCCATGCTTCCACTGGCTTTCCGCACCGTGGCCGTGTGCCAAGTTGTCGTGATTTTATGACATCCGCGAATGCTTTCCGGCCGAGACGACCCTGCTGATAGCACGTCACATGTGACCCGCATACCTGTTCGCCAAGGCCATGCGACCTATAAAAAGGAATATCTGAGAGGTCATCACCATCTAACATGGTCCAGGCCGCCAGATTGTCCATCGGTTGCTTCCCAAGCGAGCCATGTGCTCGGTTGCCAAGGTGTTTCAGGCAGAGATCGTTATTCCAGCGGGTCTGGGACAGAGGGCGCTATCCCTCGGGGTTTAGGACAGAGGGCGCTATCCCTCGGGGTTCGGGGCAGAGGCCGTTATCCCTCGGGGTTCGGGGCAGAGGCCGCTATCCCTCGGGGTTTGGGGCAGAGGCCGTTATCCCTCGGGGTTTGGTGCAGAGGCCGTTATCCCTCGGGGTTTGGGGCAGAGGCCGTTATCCCTCGGGGTTTTTGGAAGAGGGCGCTATCCCTCGGGGTTCAGGGCAGAGGCCGCTATCCCTCGGGGTTTGGGGTAGAGGCCGGTATCCCAAAACGTGGGAGTAGGCACGCACCCTAGGGAGGCTCATGGGACGTAAGCATTTAGACGACTTTGCTGGCTGGGTAAAGCCGCGGGTTTCCACATGGAGTGGGTGGCAGGCGGGGTTCTCTGCATTTTGAAGAAAAAAGGGTTCATGGCTATGGGTACGACGTTTGCGAAATAACGTGTAAATGTTGTAAGACATGATTCACGATATTACTGCCAGCGCCTTTTTAGTATCATCGCCCACAGCGACATCACCAGGGGCACCCCTTTCTGAAATGGTTTGGGGGGTGGGTTGAGCCGAAAACGTTGGCTTAACCCACCACAATATCTGATTTCTCCCCAATTTTGGCCGTTTTGATTTGCGTCGAGTATTTAAACTTTGCTTTGTTTTGCGTTCATTTCGAATTTGTCATGTTGCCGAGGAACTTCCCAATTCAAGCAATTTGACCCGTTTTATTGTTAGAAGTTCAGAGGGATGCGATCACAGCAGAAATATAATTTTGGTAAATCAACCGGTTGTGATACAGGAAAGGTGTTGTTTTTCATCCATCAAGGGTGGCCGGAAGCGCAGAAAGGACGGTTTAATGCAGAACGGCGTGACCTGAGAAGTACAGAAAAGAAACTAAGAAAATGTTTTCGTGTACACTGGCAGGGCGTTCTTATATTTAAAACAGCAACTGCGCCCATCTACGTACGAGTACGGCCATCTCTACCACTACGGCAATAACTAAGGTGGCCGTATAACTAACTGGCGCCACCAATGCTTGCATACGTGTTAGAAGTTGCATTAAGCAAGAAAAACCCTAAATACTCGGTGTTTCAGTTTAATTAGCTGGGAGTTCACAATTTAAAAAATTAACGTTCGGTATACCGTGGGCAACGGTAAGTGGTTAAGCAACGGTATCATGAAAGCATTGGTTATATTGATAAAACTTGACGGTTGAAAGCTGTTCTCGTGGTCGGATCTCTCCGCAAAAATCCATAAACACCACCCAATGTTTCTTCGCCCTGGAACGCGTCGCGCAAAAATGTGTTGACGTTGTACCTCGGCATCTGTCTGTGGCACAACCAGGCGCCGATGAGCTGCCCCATCTCAAAACGTACTAAAGCCCGCCCCGATGGCTCAGTTGGTAAGAGCGCCTGCTTTCCGATCCACGCTTCCATAGCGGGGTGCGTTTGACTCGCTTCAGGCGTTCTCTAGTTGTAATCTCTGGTCTATCTAGTTTCTAGTCTATCAATCTCTAGTAGTAGTCTAGTTCTTTAGTTCTCGAGTCTAGTTTAGTTTTCCTGACTGGGATAACCTACAGCCGGCGGTAGCGGCCGCACTAACGGTCAGATGACGTCACAGGGCAGGTGACGTCAGGAGCAGGTGGGCCGTACCGAGCATGAGGGTGCGGTAAGCTTTCGCCGAAAAGTTATGCGCCACTAACCCGGGATCTCATGATCGGATGGGAGGGCCGGGGCTTACGCACCAGCACGGCTTAGCGTGGGCGCTCATCCCAGATATATCCGGATATATCCAGATATACACTCAACCAGAACACCCGGGCAAAACCTTAAAAAGACTCGTGGTCAAAGCGCATTACAATTTGGCACGCCTCATGCTTTCTAAAAAAAGTCATGTTATCACCGATGCGGAGGGCGGTGTGTATGTGTTCTGATATCCAGTCGTGTGAATGTAGGACGGTGATGCGGAGGGCGGTGTGTATGTGTTCTGATATCCATTCGTGTGAATGTAGCCAGGCTAAGACATCCTTTCTTTTCCGCCACAACGGGTGCCCGGAGCACTGAGTTGGGTTTCTCGATTGTGCCGTAAGCTCTCGGTTTAACAATACAGCAATATCAGGTTTGCAAATAACTTGTGGAAGTGCAAAACAAATGAGCTGTGTCTTAGTGAAACTATCCTGCCTACAATGAGGCCAAACTAAAAGCCGGCCAACGATTTCCTCAGCAGTGGAAAGCGTATCTGGGATTATTCATGACTGAGATGGCATTTCACTGTCAATGCAATGGTAAAGAACACGAACAGCAACAGAAGTAACCATCAGAGATTTCCCATCAGCCCGTCCTGCTGGAGACACTCTTCGTTTTGATCGATCTCGTGTTGTCGCCCAGGACCGCCCAGAAGGGTACCAAAGCGGTGGCAATGTAGCGCTCCGGTAGCTAATGTAGGACATTGACTAGTAGAACATTCGAGTACATTGAATGTACTCGCACAACGTAGACGCGAGATTCAAAATCAAAACACTGGCCGCCACCCGTGATCTCGCATCCGTAGAATCACGACTCTGCAGAGGATGCCTCTTGTGCACAAGGGCGAGAATTCTGTCCACATTACCCCGGAGCGCTGCATTGCCACTGCTTTGGTACCCTTCTGGGTGGCCCTGGGCGACAACACGGGATCGATCGAAATGAAGAGTGACGCCAGCAGGACGGGTGGCATCGCGTACGGCATGGCCTTCATCGAATTGGTGGGAGGAGCATTACCTGGCATGCACATCATCCTAAGTCCGCGGTGCTGTGGCTTCGTACTCGCCCGACCTTGCCGTCCCTGGACTTAATGCTGTGGGGTGGCCGGAAGAGCCGTGTCCACAAGGGCAAGCCAGCGGACCTTCAAGGCCAGCGGACCTTCAAGAGCTCAAGGCCGCCTTCAGGCTTGAGATGGAATGCATCAACGTCAGCTAGATCGAACGGACAATCGACTGCCTGCAGCAGGTTCAGCGATGCACGTTCTGCACCGGGAGGGAGCATTCGGAACATCTTTTGCAAACACGGTTTGGCTGATGGGGAATCTCTGATGACTACTACTGGCACTGTTCGCGTTCTTTACCATTGCATTGACAGTCAAATGCCATCTCAGTCATGAATAAATCCCAAATACGCTTCCCACTAGTGAGGAAATCGTTGGCCAGCTGTTATTTTGGCCGCATTGCATGCAGGATAGTTTCATTAGGACACGGCCCATTTGTTTTACACTTCCACAACTTATGTAGCCGACCCTGCGGGAGAGATCTCATTTGACGCCTTGGTCACCACTATGTAAATAATGCATTTCATTCACTTTGCTTTTTCCAGCGTGTGTGTTCTGTAAGGTTTGTAACACGCGAATTTGTCAAGAAAATTGTGTATAAATGCTACGAGAGCTTGAAACACTCTGTTTAGGAAAAAAATATGCCTTGGCTTTGGGAATGGAAGAATGACATGATCCACGCGACGCACTGGTTCAATCCTCAACCGATAAACTTCTCGGTTACAAGCCCTGGTCCGCTGGACTAATCACAAACGTTCTTTTACTCGCAGCAGTAGAGATTCGTACGGCGGTTGCTTTAACGACGTCTTAACGACGTCTTCGCCACTGCACAGAGGAAGCGTAGTGCTGTTACAAAGCGTTGGCAGGGCAGTTTAATCTCGAAAATAATTTAAGACGATGTCTTTATTATGTCCTCAAGGCGATGCAATGACCCTATCCAGTGCTATCATAGGACGTAACTGGTCCCGAGGTTTGACTTGAAGATGTTTTTGAAATATGTCCGAAAGGCAGGAGACTCTTTTTAATGAAATTTTTCCTGTGTGTATGTGCGTATGCTTAGTAGTTCTTGTATATGGGTTTGCTGAGTGTCGCCTTTAGAAGTATTTTCCCGGGCTTGGTTTGGACACGGAGATTGGCGATGTATATATATACATATATATATATATATATATATATATATATATATATATATATATTATGATACCCGTCATGCCAACCGATTTTGAAAGACTCGTCAGCCCTCTAAGACATAAACGACTCAACTTCGAAAATGGGCGTGCAAGCTTCCAGTTACAAGCTCAAATGGAGAAAGAGTTAGGAAATTCGAGTCCATTTTTGTTCTCAGTCCTGCCATTTGGCGGGTGAAAAAAGCTCTGCTTGCAAAAGCTGTCTATCAGCAAACTGGTTTTGGTCGCTGCTATAGCAGTGCTGTCAGCCTTTACTGTGACAATGATCTTACAGTTATGACCATTAGCTGAATATTCCGCGAACCGGTCCCTGTTCGTCGAAAAGTCGGAATGCCGGGCCTGGACTTGATCCGAATCCGTGAGATGACGGCTGAGATAAGCGGCCCGTTCTCGCTGATGGCTGCACATGCTCACCACGCTCCACGGGTGGGACGACGCTCACCACGCTCCATGGTGAGCATGTGCAGCCACGCTCACCACGCTTTACGGTGAGATGTGCAACCACGCTCACCACGCTCCACGGTGAGATGTGCAACCACGCTCACCACGCTCTATGGTGAGCATGTGCAACCACGCTCACCACGCTCCATGGTGAGCATGTGCAGCCACGCTCACCACGCTCACGCTCACCATGATCCTGCCGGTGGTGGTCTGTCCGGACATAAGCTCGCCGGCCCAGTCCTTGGCCTCTGACACGAAGCTGCCCTCGAACTGGGGCTTCTGTCCAGGCGGCAGGGCGGGGGGCCGCGGCTCGCGCGCGCTCTGCGAGTACTCCGGCCGGGCCTCTCCGCTGCAGCACAGCCAGCTGCCCAACCGCCACAGGAGCACGGCCAGCAGGCCCGCTATGAATGTGGCGATGGAGGACAGCAGGAAGCACCACCACTTGCGGTCCTTTAGGCACTCCTCCTCGGAGATTTCTTCGTAGGCCATGGCGAGCGGGGGCGACGGGCCGGCCCCGTGGGCGGCTGTGGTCGGCGCGCGGCACGTCGGCTCCTGCCGCCGTCCGCGAGCGGTGCCACCCACGGCTAGCCACACGGCGTCCGCTTCGGAAACGATCCCGTCAAGGATATCTGCTCACGATCACGGCCCTTGTCCGCCGTCAACAATAGACGACCCCCACCACTGACGTCTTGGATCCGGGCTGCTCACATGTACGGGTATGTCCGACGTTAGCTATCGATGACACTAACTGCCGCTGACGTCAGCTACCCGCAGCGGCCTACCGCCGGTTGCACTCGCGCGCGCGTCCCGGCACCGTCACCAGCAGTCACCGCCGTCCTCGCCGTCACCGCGGGTCGCAGCGGCCTCGGCGGCTGCCCTTCACGACTGGCGGCCGCCGTCTCGCCTCGCGCCGGGATGGCGCCCGCACGCCGCGCCGTGGCCGACTGCCGGTCGATAGGACGAGCAGCTCTGCCCCGGCGCCGCGCCCCCGCCCACCCGGCACCCCCGGGCGGCTCGGCGCCAGACCGCGACCACGTCTGACGCCCGCCTCTGGTCCGTGGTCCGTGGTCTGTGGTCTGTGGTCTGTAGTCAGTGATCTGTAGTCAGTGGTCTGTGGTCCGTGGTCTCGGTCTGTGGTCTGTGTTCTGTGGTCAGTGGTGAGTGGTCTGTGTTCTGTGGTCAGTGGTCAATAGTCCGTGGTCTGTGGTTAATGGTCAATGGTCTGCAGTCCATGGTCTGTGGTCCGTGGTTTGTGGTCCGTGGTTTGTAGTCAGTGGTCCGCGGTCCGTGGTCTTTGGTGCGTGGTCTGTGTTCCGTTGCATGTGATTTGTGAACAATGTTCAGCGGTTTGTGAACCGCTTTTTTGGCCCGCGGTCTGTGGTCTATGGTCCGTGGTTCATAATCATCGGCTAGATCGCTACCCTGCGTTCGCTGGTCTGCGATCACTGTCATTTGATCGCTCTCCTGTGGTCTACGAAATTGTATGCATTATCTGATCTCTCTTCAGCGCTCAGAAGTCAATAATCAGTGAGCTTTGATCGGTGGCCAATGGTCTTGGTCAGCTGGCAAAACAGACCTCAGCTGGTACACAAAAATGTCTTACAGAATTACAAGGCAGGGGTGTTCAGAAAAGGGCCAGCGGACCGTGACATGCAAGTCCATAGCACGGACTGATCCCGAAGAACTGTAAAGCCTGTCAGCGGAAGCGGTCCCAGAATTTGACGGGATCTTATCGGCGCCCGGTCCGATGCTCCTGCGTCTGCCAGAGACAACAGCGCCCCAGAACAGCACGGTGACATGCTTCCACGTCCGCGCTTGGTTCTGGAGCTGCCTGACACACCCGCCACGCCAGCACGGCGGGCCAGCTTCGAGGAGGGCGATCACGGTGACGCTGGACAGCTGGCAGCACACGCCAGCCGACCACGGTTGGTATGCAAGAGCATGGTTCAGAGTATCTAGACGTGTTCAGCAGAGGAGGGCGGCAACAGTTTACGGGTTGTAAACTGCAGCTGGCAAGGCCGGCGGACAAACGCGTGAATGACGCAGCATGCTTTGGACAACACGTGTGCTCTGTGGCGTATACAACACAGATACGCAGACGTGACAGCACAGGTGCCTAAACGCGCTCTCAGGTGGCAGGCTTTCGTCCAAAAACCTTGAAAAGCACATAAATGAACGGCATGGGATTTAAATTAATTGTTCCGCGTCCACAGCTAACTTGTGATATTCAAGGAAATTGACCCCTTTTTTAAGTGTTCGTTGTTATAAGCAAAGCTGCAAGCTAAGCGTGTATCAAACGCCAACTAGCTGGAAATTTAGGGATGTATTTTAGCTGGCGAGCATGACCCAGCTTGGTCAGTCGTGTTTTTGACGAGCTAAATCATCGCAAACCACTGACCATACCACCATGCCAGACTTCAGTAGAAAAAACAATTTTTTCAACCTATACTGTGAATTCTTCAGGCATTGAATGCAAGCTGTTTGATGAGGCGTTGTGTCTCTGCAACGTCATAATATATCGCCATAATTTCATTTCCCCATTCGTTTCATGCTGGAAGCATAAAATCCCCAGATTGAAATAAACCTACAAAAGACGAATTGACATCAGACTCAGGTGTCGGCGACCGGACGTTGCTGCGGCGTGAAGCTAGCTAATGCCGACGGATTAGAGAATGGACGATTGTACCAGCAGGAGTATAGGTCAAGGTTTGCCTTAACGTGAATTGAGGTTGAACGGACCGCACAATTGGACGCCACGCCACAGATATGCTCTGATTTGGGGGCGCTTTTATGGCTGGACGTGCACTTATAATAAATAGCAATAAATCGAAATAAACTTGAATATCCAGAGCATACATAATCAACAAGCATGTATATACATACAAATATATATATATATATATATATATATATATATATATATATATATATATGTACATGTATATGTATATGTGTACATACATATAATCATATGACACCGCAATAGATGTCGACGATAAAAGTAGGTAGAAGCGTGAGGACAGCTGTGTGTTGTACGTAAATGTTTTATGCCGGTAACAGATGAAGAAGTGAACAGACTGGCTTTTTCTAAAGCCAGCTTGCGCCACATCAGGCCCTTGCTTAAGCCCGATAGAAACTGACCGATGGAACTGCATAGGCACCTAGTTGTTTCGATTGTGGCTGGTTTTCCCCTAAAATATAAACGTCTTTTCCCAATGCTCACTGCAGTGACAAAGGACGAAAAGTACCTCGTATTCATAGATATCATCTGCTATAATTGGGGAAGCCCAAGTGTTCCATATAAAAATTGAGGAATTGTAAAGCCCTGCCATTCTCAATGTCAGCCTGTCTTTCAACATCATATTTAAATTTTGTGCTACGATGATCAACTTTTTTCTTCCTGCTAAGGTCATAAGGACCAACCCTTTGCCCTAACCCCCACCCGCCGCTCTCCACGTCGCTGCCTTCAAAAGCCCGGAAAAGGGAAGTTGCATTTAAATTTGTTCAAAATTGTATAGATCAGTTGCAATTTTTACGACCTGAACATCGCTGGGGCTTTATCAAATTCACTAGAGGCGTCAAAAATACTTCATTATGTAGTATAAAGCTAGCTGGCGGCCATCGCCAGCCAGCCGTGGCTTCAGTTCTGCGACCTTTCACCTCTTGACCGGAGGTCATTGAAGGTCAGCAATGTGGAGTCGCGCGCTCCGCCAGAGGGAGGCTGGATTCTGATGGACGCCGTGGCTATGTTTGGCCGCGTCCTATCGAGCTCGTGCGTCCGGAAAATTTAATGTCCATGAGACCCAATATGGCATGTGGTTCTGGACCGCGTCCAGACTTATGTCAGATTAGAGCTTACACACTCCAAGGTAAAAATCCAAGTGTTAAGCTGTGGGCTGCTGTGGGATTCCTTTAAAACTTCGTGGTTGGTCGGAAATATACTTCAGATTTTGGGTGTGCAGAGCAGAAGAGGCCAAATGGCATGGGGGATTTTCTAGCAGAATGACAGAATGAGGGTTCCTGGACAGAATGAGGGTTCCTCACAGGGCGCCTCCGGCGCAGCATCTTGGTCAAGTTGGAGGGGTACCGAGGGCATGTGCCCGCTATCAGACTGCTGCATGCATCATGTTCAAATAATTAATTGTTGACAGTTAAACAAATATATAACGGGGCCATCTTATTAGTCAGAAATGGTCTCGCCAATCTACAGGGCAATCCAGAACAATTAACAAAATCCTAATTCTAATCCTAAATCCTTATCCTAAATCTAATCCCGAACAGGAGGCTCACAATTAACGAAGGGGCTTTTACAATCGACCCAAGGAGCCTCGCTATCCCAAAAGAGGACAACCTGATCCAGAGCTGTGGCCATCTGATGCATGTGGCCATCTGATGATGTGGCCATCTGATGATGTGGCCATCTGATGATGTGGCCATCTGATGATGTGGTCATCTGATGATGTGGTCATCTGATGATGTGGCCATCTGATGATGTGGCCATCTGATGATGTGGCCATCTGATGATGTGGCCATCTGATGATGTGGCCATCTGATGATGTGGCCATCTGACGATGTGGCCATCTGATGATGTGGCCATCTGATGCATGCAAGGGGCCCCGGAGACAATTGTACTCAAGGAGAATACCAGCTCTACCAGCTCTACCAGCTCTGCACAAACAAACTCAGATTGATTATTAAATTGCTCAGAATTCGGTTCCCCGTTTTAGGAAATAGCTCAAAACACTACAATATATACACTTGGCTAGTTGGTCTTCACCAATGAAATATCCATTTCGCCTAGCGAAAGGCAGTGCCTCACATAATCGGCGCGTAGGGTGGGATAGTGTGGCCGGTCCTGCAAGACTATCGGGTCCGAGTGGTGATTGGCCTTACGGATGTCCCATGCAGCGTCCTTTAAGCATGACCCCCAACACACACACACACACACACACACACACACACACACACACCACACACACACACACACACACACACACACACACACACACACACACACACACACACACACACACACACACACACACACACACACACACACACACACACACACACACACACACACACACACACACACACACACACACACACACACACACACACACACACACACACACACACACACACACACACACACACACACACACACACACACACACACACACACACACACACACACACACACACACACACACACACACACACACACACACACACACACACACACACACACACACACACACACACACACACACACACACACACACACACACACACACACACACACACACACACACACACACATGAAGATGCTGTTATATACGATATGATGGTAAAATTATGGCAAAATGTCATAGCTAGACAACAGCACTTGGACCACACCATTGATCCATTTTCACATGTGATCATTGCCAGTGCCGCCAAGATTTACCATAAGCCAAGATTGCCCGCATCGCGGAGAGACGTGATCAGTGTGTAGCTTTTAAGCCCTTGCTTCAACGTGTCAAGTTTTGCACGTGCCTATATTGTTTGCTTTTGACAGTGCAAAGTAAACGCTGGGCCCGCAGACTCAGCGCGCTGGTGATGAGTCGCTCCTGTTTGGTATAGGGGGGGGGGGGGGGGAGTGACCTCAGTGGGTTCTCGCTTGCCTTCCAGGTAGCGTCGGTACCCCGTGGTCCTTCATCGACTATTCTGATGACCATGATCACGTTCAGTTGCATTCAATCAGCATTCAACGTTGGGAATTCAATCACCATTCAATCAGCATGTCCAGGGCACTCGTGAAATAGCATGTCACAGCAAATGAGTTTGGCTGGCTGCAGCTATCTGAGTTGTGTGGTGGGTTGATGAATAA